CAAGTTGTATGAAACAAGGCCCATCTCGTTGCTCAAGACTACACTCAAGCCGAAGGTATGGACTATGGTGAGACATATGCCCTCATTGCTAGACTTGAGTCCATTCACATTTTACTTTCGTATGCCAATCACCATGATATCACCTTATACCAAATGGACATTAAAAGTGCTTTTCTAAATGGTGAAATTGAGGAGGAAGTTTATGTCAAACAACCTCTTGGCTTTGTTAATCCCAAGAAACCTAATCATGTCTACAAACTTCGCAAAGCCCTTTATGGTCTTAAACAAGCCCCTAGAGCTAGGTATAAATGCTTGACTAAGTTTCTTATTGAAAAAGGATTTGAAATTGGGAAAATTGACTCTACACTTTTTACTAAAAGGGTTAATGGAGAATTATTTTTGTGCCAAATTTATGTGGATGATATCATATTTGGTTCTACTAATCCCCATTTTAGTGAAAAGTTTGGAAGGTGGCAGCCATTCGCCACATGGCAGCATCTTTCTACAAGAAAACCTACAGATGACACCCATCATGTGACGTGTCAAACAAGCAGGTGAGGAGCTGGCAAAACAAGCCCAGCAAGGCTTGTCGGGCGAGCAACGATGTGACGTTGAGGAGCGCATTTAATGCGCCCTGTCAGCCTACAGAGTTAGGTATGATAGCACTGTTTTCTATCTTGTCAATGCATAATGACTGCTTTACCATTGTGGTGACCCCTTAACCTATAAAAGGAGGCCCATGGCAACCGTAGAAAGGATTCACGAGGTTTGAAAGTTAGACACCCATACGCGCGTAGCCACTATCTCCCTTGCCGGGCAAGTGTACTACGTTCCAGCACCATTCTTCCACCATCAATCCACCAAAGCAGGAGTAGGGTTTTACGCCTCGCGGCGGCCTGAACCTGGGTAAAATTGCTTGTGTGATCCCTGCCGTGCTGCCCCACGCTCCTCTGCTCTTTGTGCAATGCGACACCCCTCCCCCCCCCCGCCGAACCAACAAGGGGCCCTTGGTCCCATAGGTGGTCGTGGTTTCCCGCGACATTGACGAACTCGGTACCTTCGTGCATATCAACCAAAGTATCCCCAATTTCCTTTGCATTCTCAAGGCGGTTGATTTTGTTGAATTCTTTGGGGCACAATCCGTTGAAGAGAATATCGCAAGCTTGAACATTGTATTGCAACATCTTCATTTCTTTTGCGGACGCTTCACAATCTAGTTCTTTTCCATCCTCGAACAAATCACCTTGCTAGCCAATGCGCATAGTAGCCCAGACGGCGGTGTTATGACCAAGAATTTGCATTTTCATCTTATGCTTCCAACTAGCAAAATTTGTACCATCAAAGTAAGGACCTCTACGGTGGTAATTTCCCTCGCTAGACGCCATATTCTCCTAGGTTGTGAAAGTAAGGCTATGATCACCAAAGCTATGGAAATCAAGGAAAATGGAGACCAAATCTCTAATACCACTTGTAGGATCAAAAGTAGGTCTAGAGGGAGGGTGATTAGACTACTTGACCAAATAAAAATACAACCTTTTCCCAAATTTAGTTGTGGGCAGATTTTAACAATTTAGCACAAGTCAAGCAATCAACCTACACATGCAATTCTAAGAGTGTAGTAGCAGAAAGTAAAACATTGCATATGAAGGTAAAGGGAAGGGTTTGGAGAGTGCAAATGCAATGATGACATGGAGATTTTTGGCGTGGTTCCGATAGGTGGTGCTATCGTACGTCCACGTTGATGGAGACTTTAACCCAGAAGGGTAAGGTTGCACGAGTCCACGAAGGGCTCCACCCATGAAGGGTCCACGAAGAAGCTAGCAACCTTGTCTATCCCACCATGGCCATCACCCACGAAGGACTTGCCTCACTTGGGTAGATCTTCATGAAGTAGGAGATCTCCTTGCCCTTACAAGCTTCTTGGTTCAACTCCACAATCTTGTCGGAGGCTCCCAAGCGACACCTAACCAATCTAGGAGACACCACTCTTCAAAAGGTAATAGATGTTGTGTTGATGATTAACTTCTTGCTCTTGTGCTTCAAATGGTAGTCTCCCCAACACTCAACTCTCTCACATAGATTTGGATATGGTGGAAAGATGATTTGAGTGAAAAGCAACTTGGGGAAGGCTAGAAATCAAGATTCTAGTGGTTGGATTGAAATTTCTTGATCTCAACACATCAGTAGGTGGTTCTCTCTAAAAAAATGTAGGCTGGAAGTGTAGGCACATTCTGATGGCTCTCTCGCATATGTAGAAGGGGTGGAGGGGTACATATAGCCTCCACACAAAATCCAACCGTTACACACATTTGACCCAACTCGGTCAGACCCAATAGAAGAACTCAGTGAGACCGATTTATTTCAGAATGTGAACGTTAGGAATATTGGTGGGACCGACTGGAACAACTCGGTGGGACCGATGTGCTAGGGTTAGGGCAAAACCTCATCTCAGTGAAGTCGATTGCTTGAACTCGACGAGACCGATTTCAGCAAAGAACAAACAGAGAGTTGGTCAAGCAAACTCGATGGGACCAATTGCACATTTTGATGAGACCGAAATAATTGCAACAGGCAACAGAGAGTTTGTAGGGCCATCTCGGTGAGACCGAATTCCGTATCGGTGTGACCGAGGAGTTAGGGTTTCTTGCAGTGGCTAGGTCAAGTGAACTCGGTGGCGTCGGATAGATCTGTTCGGTGGGGCCGAGTTTGACTTTGAGTTTTGGACATATTTGGAAATGAGAAAGTGGTTGAGGATTTTTGGAGCAATATCACTAAGCACTTGGAGCAAGTAGACCATTAAGCAACACCTCACCCCCTTTTAATAGTATTGACTTTCCTATGAACTCAAGGTGATCTTGCATCACTAAAATATAAATGAAGAGTCTTGAGCTTTTGCCAATATGTGTCCTTAGCATTTTGAGGGGTCCACATCTCTAGTCCATGCCATGCCAATCATTGAACTTTCTAAAATATTTAACTTACAATGGATATTAGTTCAATGAGCTATATGTTGTTATGAATTACCAAAACCACCCAAGGATTAGTCGCACTTTCAGTTGGAGATGCCCTAAGCTTTTTCATCCATGCGGTCGACTAGCTAGCACTGCAGTTTTGTGTGCAAGGGTTGTCGGTTATTTTTACATCGATGTGTACAGTGCTGACCAAATAAGTTCTCTATATATATTATACTCTAAAAATACTTTAATAGTATGTAAAAGCTACATATCTCATACCAACAAAGTAAAATAATGTAGTTTTTCAGTACTTTGGTTTTTATAATGCTTTATTCTAAGACATAGCCTAATTGGTTCCCATCCCAATGCATTATTTTTTATCATGTTTCACGTGACACCATTTATTTTACGGTAAATGATCTGTGTCGGGCGACCGGCCAGGCTCCGTGTCGGTCACATGTTGGCTGCTTGATCACACCTTATAGAAGAGACAAAGACATGTCACATGCAACTTCCTGGCCTACACATGCTCACCGCTTTCCTTTATCCTCTTCACACTTGAGCCCATTTCTTCCTTATCTCTTAATAGGATCGAGCAACGCACCCTTCTCCGACGGCAATGGAGTCCTGATTTGTTGCAACTAGCAATCGAAAGAACTTCTCCTGGCAAGGCTTTTTGGTACAATGAAAGCTGCATCCAGGGAAGGAGAGGCTGCAACGGGTGCGTGATTGTGCCGTTGCAGTGCACGACGATGGTATGATGGCAAGTGGTGCCGGCGAGGCTGCAAGCGGTGATCCGAGGGGGTGGGGAGTGTATGTGGCTAACTCCGGCCGCTGCACTGGGCGTTAGCACGGGGAAGAAGGAAGAGGGTGGAGAAGGCAGGGGAATGACAATGCAGTTTTTTTAGCTGTAGGACCAGATCCAGCGTATAAAAATGGCTGAATCGGACTATCGCGCGGCGCCCGACCGAAATTTGGGCTAGTTGGCCGTAGGGCTGCAAGAAAAACTCGAGACTCGTGAGCCATTCGAGATCGACTTGTTTCTTTGGCTTGATTCAAGACCGAATCGAAAAGAAATGAGCTGAGTTTGAACACTTTATGTAGCTCGACTGAGAAACGAGCCGATCTTGAGCTAATATTGGTTCGCTTGATTTTAGCTCGATATCTCGACAAAATATCGTTATGTTAAATTCATGCCATCCATTAGATGTAAATAAGATAAATTGTTATCATATATGTTGTCCATGATTTTCTTCCATTTTATTTATGAGCAAACATGGAAGCTTAGTTAAGTGCAGAGAAGATTTAGACCTAATTATGGTACGTGGTCGATTACGTGTTAAATATGGTTTTATTTTTGGCAAAAGTTTCCAGCATATGCACCTTTGTTTTCTTGTTTCTGGTCCATGAAGACCACCATCTATTGCTAGTTCGTCGAAGAGATCAAGATGAGCTCTCCCAAGCACTGCTCGACGAGGTGGCCATATAAATTTGTGTCGTGTTGTGTCCTTATCTAGTTGGAATAATCTTCATAGACTTATAATTTTTATCATCTCATTTAGCTTGAAACTAACTCGAGATCGACTCAAGATCGTTACAAGTTGAGCACAATCCATTTTCGACAGCTCAATCTTGAGCTTCACTCAGTTTGAGTTCGTTCAAATTTTAATATGAGTTGAGTTGAACGAACTCCAACTCATTCAAATTCGACTGGTTTGCAGCCCTTGTCAGCCCCCTAGCGTCGCCCTTGCGTTAATTCTCCCGGCAATTTCTCCCCCTAATTCTCCGCTAGCGGTTCTGTTTCACCACCCCTCTCCCCCGATAAACCCACTCGTGCTTTCCATGAGTTACAACCCACTCCCTGGGTAAAATCAGTGCTTCCATACAGCCCCTAGGCAGTGAAGCCCCGTCACCGAACCTTTTTCTGTAAAGCCCCTGAAATAAGTCGACTTCCACGGCCACGCGCCTGCTCTGGCGCCTCCACCTTCCCAGACCGGAGAGTTCAACCCTAATGCCGCTGCCGCCGCAGGTCTGAGGTCAGCGAATATGGGTGGTGTGACGTCATCGGTGGCCGCTAAGTTCGCCTTCTTCCCGCCCGACCCACCGTCTTACGGCGTGGTGGACGAGGAGCCGCTTCCGCCGGGCGTGGCTCCGGCGGGGAGTGACGCTGCAGCGCTTTCTAGGAGGGTGTTGATGACGGGGGTTCTGTGGAGAGAGGGGGTGGAGGCACGTCGCCTCCGGACGCGGCGGGGCACGGAGATCATTGCCATGTATGTAGGGTGTCCTAAGGCGAGTCTCACCGTGCTGTACTCGCACGGCAATGCCGCCGACCTCGGCAAGATGTATGAGCTCTTCATAGAGTTCAGCGCTCGCCTCCACGTCAACATCATGGGGTAAGTGTTCGTGTCTTCACTTGGCCCATTTATCTCATCTTGATTTGCATTAGTTGAGGGAGCAAGAATCTTCAGTGATTGGGTCATCTTAGGAGCAAATGGTTAGATTCTGACTTGATGCATGAGTGGTCGTGCACGCTAAAAGTAGTGCCTTGGGAATTTATCAGAAAAAAAACTACTCCCTCCGTCCCACAATAAAAGATGTCTCCCTATTTTAGCTTGAAAAACGATCTTATATTGTGGGGTGGAGGGAGTAGTTTGTTGTTTCTGTTTTTTTTTCGTTTATAGAAAGTACTCGGTATTATATTTGGTTGACGAAATAATTGTGTTGTGGCCGGTGGCTATAATGGCCATGACCTACATATATTAAATTACATTTCTATCGCAGAATTCATTTTATTTACAGAAACCTAGGTACTTGTCCGTGAGTTGCAACGGGGCTATAACGACCGTGATCAATAAGGCTCGACAAGAACATCAAGACCCTTTGTCACGACCGGATGAGTGGATCTGGGGAATTTTGGGGATGAACACGCGCCAGGGTTTCGATCTGGAACTGAGGATATTGAATATGCTATAGAATATACCTCTCAGAGGAATGCTTAGGTATACATTGTTTAGAGATAAGTCTCAGAATGATTCCATGCTTACACGTGCTCTGCACAGGCTCTTATATAGCCATGACACTAGCTAAACGGGAAACAGTAACAAGCAACTGGGTGGAACGGTACAATGACAGGTGAGCGATGCGAGCCGTCCGATCTTCCTAACTCTGAAGCGTCCCAGCCGCATGATAACTGAATCTTCAGAATAGATAACTGAACTGCACTCTGCACCTGACAATGCCCCTCCGAAGAAACGAACTTGTCCTCAAGGATTACTCAACGCCCATGACGCCAGCCTTCGACTGTTTGTTTGAAAAATGCAGGGAATGTGTGCTTAATAGAATCCGCATCTTCCCAAGTGGAGTCGTCCGGAGGAAGATTTTCCCATTGTACCAGCCATTGAACCACAGGTAGGTTGTTTCTTGGAATCTGGCGTGTCTGTAACACCAGCACCGGTTCTTGTTTGATGCTACCCTCATCGGTCACCAACGGTAAATCTGCACAAGGAACTACATTGGGACCAATATGCCCCTTGAGCTGTCTGACATGAAAAACTGGATGGATCTTCGTCCCAGCTGGAAGCAGAAGGTGATAAGCAACATTTCCCACTTTGTGCAGCACTTGAAAAGGGCCATAGAACTTGCTTTGGAGTTTAATATGAGATTTAACTCCAAAAGCATTTAAACGATACGCTTGCATCTTTAGATAGACCATGTCACCCTCCTGAAAAACTCGTTCAGTACGTTTTCTGTCAGCAAACTTTTTCATCCGCTCTTGTGCTTTCTGCAAGTTGCTTCTCAGATTAGACAACAGTTGTTGTCTGTCAGTTAACAGTTCCTTGGCCTCATTATCATGTATGACATATTCACTGATTTGTGGAGGTGGATAACCATAAAAGTATTCTGCCATTAGTAGGTGTTTCACCCACTGAGTTGGATGAGATGATGTTATAAACATCTTAAGTAGTTTTCAATGCATTGGTTGACCCTCCCTGTCTGGCCATCTGATTGAGGGTGATAAGCAGAACTATATCTGAGTTCAATTTTCAGTGCAGAGAAAATGTCTTTCCAGAGCTGACTAGTAAAGATTCTGTCCCTATCAGATACTATGGCAATAGGAGGACCATGCAGTTTAATGATGTTATCAATGAATACCTGAGCCACTGTCTTGACAATGAAAGGGTGTGATAGAGGAAGGAAATGTGCAAACTTTGTTAATCTGTCCACAACAACAAAGATTACTTCCTTCCCTTGTGACTTTGGCAATCCTTCAATAAAGTCCATGCTCAAGTGTGTTGATCAGGCCCATACATGCACATGTGCAAGCGGAGCCGCTGCACGGGGCCCCAATTTTGTATAAGTACTGCATACATCAGTACTCATCAGGCGATTATAGCCTAAGGAAATCAGGGGATTAAAGACTGAAACATTAAACTGCAAAGAGGAAAAAAAAAGGCTGCCAACATCTCATATAGTAGATGCTACTGCTGATGGTAATGTTGACAACATTTATGTTGAGAATAAATGCGATAGACTTGTAGCTCAAAGTTCTGAGAATTTTCTTTTGGTATGATTTAGTTCTTTGAGAAATTCGTACTATTAATAATAAATATTTTTAATGGCCTAATTGATATTCTTATACATGAGTCCTAAATTGTGACTTCGCTCCGGGCCCCGAATTGCTGGGGTACGGCCCTGGTATTGGTACTGCTTCAGTGCTGATTATTGTAGGTGCAGCAGTACTGTCTTCTGTAGGTTCAGCAACAGAAATATCTATACTTTTCTTAGGCTTGTCCCTTGTATTGTTTATCAGGTACAATGCAAAACCAGGTGCCCCCTTAAGAATGAGTTTGTTCATTTCCTTCTCATCCACCTCAATAGCATTGGCAAGAGTGTCACATGCAGGAATAGTGACAGGTAGTTGTCTGTCCTTATAAACAGTGATTGATCTTTGTATGTGATCAAAAGATGTAGGGCTATGTTTAGCTAACCAATCACATCCCAAAACTACATCATGACCAGGAATTTCCAGGATTCTGAAAGTTTGAAGAAATTTTTGTTTTGCTGCAGTAAAATGTGTGTTTTGGGATATAAGCTCCAGACCATAACTTGCCCCCACCAGCTACTGCTACTGATCTGCTTTTGTCCTTCAAAATGGTGCAAGAAGTTTTGGGAGCAAATTGGAGGTTCCTGAAAGTAGAATTACTTCCAGAATCCACAAGAGCAACAGCCTGTTTTCCTCCAACTTGAATCAGGCTAGAAATAGTATTAACACTATCAGGGTCCATTGCTTGAGCAGATATTCTCATGCATTTGTCTTGTGCGGCAGGTGCATTCTCTTGTTCCTCTTCTGACCCAGAGTCCTGTTCTTCACCTTGATCTGTTGGTTCTTCCCCTGTTAACATGTTTATAACAGGGGCTTGTTTGCAGTTGTGCCCATGAAACCAGTTATCACCACATTCCAACACTTTCGAGGCTCTCTTGCCTTCTGTGCTGTTGCAGGTAGTTTTTGTTCAGGCAACATTGTTTCAAACCCTGGAGTTTTGAAAGAGTTGTAGTTATTCTTCTGAAAACTACTTTGGAAGTTTGATTCCTTTGGAGGAAGAGACTGCTCCATATCTACAGCTAGCCAATATGCTTCAGTTAATATGGGAGGTCTTAAAGGTCTGAGCTGAAATTTGATGTGATCTCATGCCATTGACATAGCATTTTATAAACCACTGTTCAGATAATGAAGGGTTTTCTTCTTGCATTTTTGCCATCAAGGACTCAAACTGGTCTGTATATTCAGATATACACATATTTCCTTGCTTGAAAGCATTAAATTTATCAGCTAGATCATAGGAGCTTGTAGGAGAGAACCTCTTGAGCACTTCATCACAGAATTGTGACCAAGTAGGGTGTTTCTTCAGTAGACCTGACCTCCTCAACCATACATCAGCTCTGTCAACGAAATAAAGTTGTGCAAGTGACACTTTATAATCACTAGGTGCACCAGACATTTGAAAATACTTCTCACACTGTCTGATCCATCCACCAGGGCTGTCCCTATCAAATCTAGGAAATTCCATTCTAGGGCCTTTGGTTATGTTTTTGAGAAATTGTGTTCTCATTTCCTTTTAGTAATTCTTGTAGTACTCATCCCAAATCACATTTACTTCTGGTGAATTTGCCAGGGGAAAAGCTGTGGTTCAGGCAGTTTTCGTTTGAGCAGTAGGACTTGCAGCTTCAGACTGAATCTCCTGAGGATTAGTCCTGTTAAAACCAGGAGGCCTGATTTCTGTCCCACCTGAATAGGTGGCAGTCTTGCAGCATTGAGGAGAGTAAACTGTCTAGTTTTCTCTTGTTCCAACAAAAGACGCTTCCTCAATTCTTCAGTTAGTGGTCTTGTAGCTGGATCTGTTTCCTCCTTTAGTTGTTCTGACGATTGTTGGTTTGCAACAGGCTGTTCCACTCTGGTAACTGGTTGATCCGTGGGTCTTGGAATTTGCTGAGCTGAGCCTGAAACCCCTTGAGTGCCAAGTGTCTTGAGCACATCTGTAATGATAGATAGTTGCTCACTGAGAAAAAACTGCTGTCTGCACTGTGGACAAGACTGTATTCATTTCTTCATACTTGGAGTTTGAGATCTGAACTTCCTTCCTCAGCAAATCAACTTCATCACGCAAACCTGTGGTCTCCTCACGATTTGCCAGCACATCTTCTTTGAGATGAAGCAATTCAGCGAGCTCTGCGTCGTCGATACTCTGCTTCGATTGCCCCATGATCTAATTCAGTGGAGAGGAATTTTACTACCGCAACAAGGCAGCAACCAGAACCACTTACTAGATCCTGCTGTCTTCCTCCCCCAATCATATCTTGGTCTCCCCCTATCGACCTCCAAATTAAACCTGTCTGCGTTTTTCTTTATTATCGATAAGGTGGATCGTCGACTCGCTGGCTGGCGTGGTCTCATGCTGTCTCTGGCGGGTTGGGCAATCCTGGTTCGCGCGGCTCTTCGTTCCTTGCCTATCTATGCTATGAGCGCGCTTCTGCTGCCATCCGGGACGCTTCTGGAGCTTGACAAGCGATGCCGCGCGTTTTTCTGGTCTGGGCAGGATTCTATCACTGGCGGGCAATGTAAAGTGGCTTGGGACCTCCTGTGCGCTCCATTCTCTAACGGGGGTCTAGGATTCTCTTCTCTGAGGCACATGAACGTGTGCCTCCTCCTTAAACATCTCTCTAACCTTCATGATCACGGACACCCATTGGCTCCTACTTACCTAGTCAACAAGTACGGATGGTCCACGTCTCGTGATCTCAGTCCATGCAATAATTCTGCCACTCCGGTTTGGCGCGACATTCTCAAGGGCCTTGACTTCTTCCGCTCTATCACCACTGTCAGGATCGGCAATGG